GGGGGGGGGGGGGGGGGGAGAGTACATACACGCCTCATCTTAAGTGTACTCTTGTTCTCGCTCTCCCTCTTACTACTTTATACTTTCTCATTAATAGAGTTCTTCGGTAACTGTTGTCACCTTCGGTGGTTAGGTCACATAGATCCAACCACTCAATCTTTATCTCTTATTATTAATTGTTTTACACTAAATACTTGATTGATTTAATCGTGCATAATAACTTTGTACAACATCAGTTTGACGTTATCTGTGAGAAATGACTGAGTTTTCTACTACCTTTTATTTGTCCCTCTATGTCAGGATGAGGTCCCACCTCCTCTAGCAAATCCCATTGCAATGACAAATCCTGTGGTTGGACGCAATACAGTTGCTAATAAACCAAAATCAACAAATTTTCCAATTGATGCTTCCTGTCGGAGGAGTCGTGCCCCAACACCTAGGAGGGGAAGCACTCCACGTACTTTGCCTAGGGCACCAAGGTATCAATGCCCAGCAAGACACCCCCCTCAGCACCAAGGCGCCCTAGATCCCCCTCCGTGCGTGCCTGCTCTGTCCTCCCATGATGGTGACCCTTATTTCCTAGAAGATGAGGTAAAAAAACCAGTATGTGGACCATGAGAGCCACTACAACGACTATTCCCTTAACCACTAGGACGAAAAAATTAAAAAATTCATAACCAACTTGGCGACGTCTTCAACGCCATGAAGGCGCAAGGGCCTGAAATGGTTGAATACCTTGTGAGGCGTATTGACATGCCCTTTATAGCTGATGTGGCCAATTACCCCTCTACTCCCAAAGTTTAAGATGTCAATCGTGGAAGCTTTTGATGGCTCTAAAGATTCACTGGATCACCTTGACACGTACAAATTCTTGATATAGTTGTACAACATACTAAACAAAATCATGTGTAAGGCTTGTCCTACCACCCTCAAGAGATTTGCTCACTAGTGGTTCGCCAAGCTTAACCCTACATCCATTAATTTTTTTGTTGAACTAAGCAAGTCATTCATCTCACACTTCATTTGGAAACGTCGACACCAAAAGTCTACCACCCACTTTCTCAGCATCAAGCAGGACTAAGACGAAAGCCTAAAGAGTTACTTCACCTGTTTTAATAAGGAAGTCTTCCAAATTGAAGAACCATATGACAAAGTCGTCATGGCGGCCTTAATAGAAAGCCTGTGCTCATCCAATCTTATGTTTTCAGTCTTGAAGCGCCCGCCAAAGAATATGCTAGAATTACTATCAAAAACCCAGATATACATGAATACTGAGGATGTTGCCAAAGTCAAGCGAGCTGAGTCCTCACATAGAGGAGAATACGAAAAGTTGATATGTGAAAATTCTACTTCTTCACTAATTTGCGGTTGAAATTGAAATTCAATGAAAAATAATTGTTTTTTTAGGTAAATTCAGTGCTCAAACGTCATAGTCAATTTGATTCTTGTAGATCTCGAGAAAATATCCAGATTCAAAAAAAAAAGTTTGCCTCAAATGGACAACCGAGTGTAAAGTTATAGCTATTCAAAGTTTTGACACTTCTTCATGTTTTTCTAATACTCTACCAGCACCAACCACCAGCTACACGCCCAAAACACAGCGCCAACAGTTGGCACCTAGCGCCCTCGCCCGCGGTGCCCGACGGCTAGCACGCCTATGCTCGGTGCCCAACACCCAGCCTGCAGCTCCCAACATTCACGGTTGAGGCGCCCAACATTCACGACTAGCACCCACGCATGGTGCCTAGCACCCGACTTGCGATGTTGAGCGCTCATGACCACGGCGCTTATGCTCAATGCCCAGCACCCAACTTGAGACGCCCAACGCACACGCCTGCGGCACCCAACCAAGGGCGCCCATCGCAAGTGCTCACGCGCTCATCGTTAGCGCACGCAGCGCTCGCGTTCCCCACTATTCTCGCCTTGGTGCCTGCCTCTTTAACCGCCTAGGCGTGTCACCTGCTTTGCATGCCCAGCTCATCTAGCAGCACCTTTGGTGTCCAATGTCACCCCTCCTGGCACATTTGGCACCCTCGCCTCTCGCGCCCAGCGACCATGCTCCATTGGCTTTGTCCCGTTGGCGCCCTTTGGCTACCCTCACTGTCATCTCTTTTCTCTTCTCCATTTCTTGGGAGAGAGCCTCCTGAGTCACCAAAAGTTCGGCCAAACTCTACCTTAGAAAAAGCCTCTCGAGTCGTCAAAAGCTCAGTCAAACTCTGTATATCCTTTCACGCAAGCAGCCTTAGTCTCCAACTTAGCGCTTCTCTTGCGAGTCGCCAAAAGCTTGACCTCTACTCTCACGCAAACAACCTCAATCTCTAACTTAGCAGCTCTCTCTCAAGTTGCAAAAAAGCTCGGTCTAACTCTGCCTATGCTCTCACGCAAGCTGCCTCAGTCTCCAGCTTAGTGACTTTTTTACGAGTTGCTAGAAACTCAGCTTTGCCCTACCTCTGCTCTTACGCAAACAGTCTTTGTCTCCAACTTAGCGGCTCTCTTCTGAGTCACCAGAAGCTTGGTCTAACTTTGTCTCTACTCTCATGCAAGTAGCCTTAGTCCCTAACTTAGCGGCTCGCTCATAAGTTACCAGAAGCTCGACCTAACTGTACCTCTACTTTCACACAAACAGGCTCGATCTTCCGAAAGCATAGCCTCAAGAGGTGTTGCTCTCTTATAAGCCAACCTCAACTACTCCTCAGTAGCCTGGTGAGCCTGTCTTTCTTCTACCAAAGCTCTCGACACCTCATTGAGTTTGAGTACCCTAAAAAAAAAGGCACGGAAAAGCCGCAGTCATCTGCAAATATCTAAAAGCAAGAATGCTAGAATGATCAAAAAATACAAAAAACAAGGTTGAATAGAAAATAAGGATACCACAGCAAAGCCCTCCATCGTGGTATCGATGATACCCTAAGGACCCCAAGAGTCAACCTCTCTAATATCCGAGGGTGTCACAAACCTTTAAAGTTACTCGTTGGCTAATTCACGCCCTATAGCATGGACACCAGGTCACTACTGAAAATAGGACAATTATACAGAGCTCCATCCTCAATAGAAGTCTACACAGGAGTCTCAATCTCTAAAGTAGTCCTAGGACTAACCCTAGGACTCAAAGGGATCACATGCTAAGAAGAAGCGAGGGCACCATTAGACCCCACTTTCTGAGAAATAGTAGGGCCATCAAACCTTAATTAGGAAGCACTGACCCTCTTAGGAGAAAGAAAAGTCATCATCCTAGTGACATGAATGAAAGGATGAACG